TCCGGTTAACCAAATTCATATTTTGCTCTCTTCAACTCACAGTTTCAGAAAGATCACAAAACATTAATTTTAGAATATACAAAAATAACATTCTTGGACTGTTCGAATGGACAAAAATAAGCATTAAACCTTCTCACTATTATATATTTTGTCACTATTAAATTTAATTGACAATTTTACGCCACAAACTTTGTATTCTTTTCGGAAATGTTGTATAATTAAATAATATTTTCCAAATTAAACGAAAATTCGATTTGAGCAAACCGGAGCTGTTCATATTTTTACCATTATTTTCATTTTTACCTTATCTTTATTGCAAAACCAACTTTTGAAAAATTGAATCAAACTTTTTGAAAAGTATATGAGAGCCTTTTTAATATAGAATCAAACAATTTTCCCATATAAGATATTGAAAATTCAAAGCACGTTCAAGAGCTTTTATGAAAAATAAAATGAAGAGGAAAAAGTAAAAACCAAAAACAGGTATCTAAATAAAATTGAAATTATCGGACATTTATTCAGGTAGAAGAAAATTTTATAATCATACAATGAAAAGTTATTTAATTTAAAAGATTTTGTGAGCACTTAACATTTTTCTTCTTTTTTTTTTTGTACAAACTCAAATTGTTATAATATTATGTATGTAAGTTATAAAAAATCAGCGAAAGTAGCAATAACTTAAATTGATTTTTTAAATTAATTTTGGTTTCTTCTTTCAGGTATACATAAAGCGTATTAGATATTAAATTTATTTCTCAAATAAATTTATTTTTGCTTTTGACCCAACTTAAATACTTTGGTAATATAAAAAAAAAACAATATTTTATAAATATTTAATTTAAGAATAATACCCTTTATGCTTAATTACAAAAATTAAAGCTCTGAGAAAAAATTTTTAAATTATTGAAATTTTAGTTAAAATGAAATGATGACGAACGAAACCCTCAGTGAGTGAAAAGAAAAGTTAATAACGCAGGTCAACTCTGCACATACTCTAATAATGATCACCTTTGTGTTTTATTGGTGGTTATTGCAAAAACGATTCAAGCCGGTGACTAAATCGAAGCTCAGAACTAATATTTAATATTTCCAAAAACCAAAGTTTTACATTTCGCGAAGACTTTTTGTAAAAGTACTCCGTATAAGGCTACATTTTTTACTTTGAATCTTTGTATAACAAGAACGAGCAGGGTTCGAAAAATTGATTTCTGTATGAATAAATTCTGAGCTACTTTTCATTTACTGTTTTTTTTTTTTTCAAAATTTGTATAATCACAAAATCACAATGATGTTGTACAGATGAAAAAAAAATATGTACTTATAGTTATAGTATTCCACATTAAAGGATGAAACACTCAATCTATATGTAACCAATTTCTAATTGCGGCAATTTATATAATATAGAAGTAATAGAAGAGGGTTATGCAAAATTATGACTGCTACGCGTTCCACTTTTATTACAGCGAATAGAATAGACACAAGTAATCTCACAGCATATTTTGCGTTGCCATAATTTTCGAAACGAAATGCATATTTTCTTTAATTTCTAGAAGCCATCTGAAAGTTTTCTTAACAGCTTCCCAAAATTTCACACATGCACACACTGACATACGGACACATATACTTCCATTTTTATATTATATATAGATGTATATAGATATGCAATATTTTAATTGCATGTTGTATAAAAGTCCTCAAACGTGTTTTCTGGCAAATCTATGATAGATAGAGACGTTTCTTTTTTAATTTGATTATAGAATAACATTAATATGTTTATCAATACATTTCAATTTAAAATTTCTTTGAATTATAAAATATAATAAAATTATAAATTTTTTCCATTATACCACCACCGCTTCATATTATTCGTTCACCATAAAAGTGTAATATAATGTTAATTAAATATCTCCGTCTGTGTTATTATTAAAAAACTAGATTTCTAAATATTTGAATTTATATTGCTAGTATATAGAGAAAATTTTAATTGAATAATTAATTTTTGTTTTAGCACACAAAACATAGGATGTACTTTTGGATACTAGAGTGGCGGAACTCAATTTTAAAAATTAAATTTGTAAAAATATTATAAAAAAATCTCAAAATTTTATGATGAGTGTGATATTAAAATTTGTTAAAAAAAAAACAAAATTTTGATTTTAGTTTTTTAAATGCATACTTGACTCTAAAAATTGGAAAAAAAAAGGAAATTAATAAAATAACACATTTTGAATTTTTTTGCTCAGATGGATGGAAAAAACCACATTTTGAAAAAATCTCGTTATTTTTAGTCAATTTAATTTGAAATAGGCCTACATAGCTGTCCTTATTTGCGTTTAATTTTTGATTTTTTTTTTGTTTTTTTTAATAAAACGAACGTGGTAGCATACGTTACACGTATAAATTTTTATTTCATAATAATTTTTTAATAGGTTTTGAAGGACATTTAATTTTATCAAGTTTTTAAAAAAAAAATGTTGTTTTTTTTTTGTTGCGGATTTTGTTGTTGGAAAAACCACCAATGGCACATTTTAATTAAAAAACTACATGCATATTTGGTCCTTATTTTATATTTTTTTTTCAAATATACCAAAAATTAAAATACTCGTAAAAAAACAAAAATATATTAAAATTTTTTTTGTTTTATGAATTTTTATGAATTTTGACATGATTTAATTAATATTTTATATCTAAAGGGTACCTACATAATTTTTTAATATTTATACATTGATATTGTGATTTTCAAATTATTTTGAGTACCACAATTTTAAAAACAGCAATTAATTTCTTTTAACAAATTGTTGACCAGCAATTTTCCTGAAAATTTATCTCATGTCATCGGCTATTTTTCGTAATTGGATGTGGAAGTAAAACAATAAAAATAAGTATGAGTCACTCTCTTCTGATACACTATCATTTTCACAGTTACCACAATTTGATTCATTCGGACAAACAGATAAGGCATCCCCGTGTATTTCATTGAAAGATTTTTCATTACGTTCCGCCATCGTCTTTTTAAATTTTTTAAATTAATAAATAGTTTTTACAACAAAAGATTTGGCGGATCTTATAAGAGAGGAGAACAGGTTGTGTAATACTGACCAACAACTACATTGTATATGGTCGCCAACAGAGAAAATAACAGTGATGCGAAAAAAAAACGCATCAATCGTGGCCGGTTGAACAACGTTCGGCCATAAAAACAAGAGTTAACTCGTGACCGTTAAACAATGTATTAATATGGAAACTTTTTATTATAAGGATTAATATCGTAATTTTTACGAACTTTTTTTTGATTACTCATACCATCCATTTTCCTCAATTATTCTATAAACATTGAGATGAAAAATTCAATAATACTTAAGAAATACCAATAATGCTTTTGTAATTGATTTCCGAAACATACAAAAAAATTTAAACTGAATGATAAACAATATACAATAAATTATTGAATTTCATATGCAAAATATTAATAAATTACGTCTTATATTTCGTCTTTAATCCAGAATCAGGTATTTTAGAATTTTTTATTGCCAATTCAACGTATAGTTATTAATCTTCATTATTTAAGTCTTAGAAGAATAACTATACCTACTAAACTCACCAACAGAGTTACAGAGGCTTGTCGAAATTGCTTTCGAATTATTCTTCACCTTGCTTTACAGTAGTCCACATGTTGATTAATGTTTCCGTAACCCAGAAATGTAATTTTGTGAACCAAATTTTTCATGATGTTGATCTATGAGAAATAGTATATTATTGACCGAAATTAATGCATGCATAATACGAATTATTCACATTTGCTTCCTGACTATCGAATTATTTAATATCTGAAATTTAGGTGTATTAATCAATTCAATCCATTCTTTTCAATTAGCAATTTAATATAAATTTTTTATGAAATCAAGGTCAATATGAAAATATTACAGATTTCCTTTAATTTTTAAAATATTATTTCTGTAAATCTTTAAATTTTAATCTAATTTTAACATTATATTTAAATTTGATAACATTATTATAAGGTTCACGGAAAAAAAAATTTACAAGAAGTTCCCAAAAAAAACTACGAGAATATTCTCAGAAAAAACAGCAAGTATTCTGAGATTATAAACATTTTATGCCAAAATTTTTTGTTGAATTCATCAAAAGTAATATGTGTAATAAAAAAAAAAGTTTTTACTCTTATTCCTGTAAATTTTTGTAACAACTATTAAAATTTTTACCTTACAATTTTTTTTATTAACGTTTATTCTAAAAAAAATTAGCAGGGCTTCCTAAAAAATTTAACATAATATTATGATAGCAATTATTAAAAAAACCTGAAAATAAACAGCTGATAAGACTTTTAAATAATCTGCACTATTTCATAAAAAATATGGTTTGGTTCCTAAAAAACTTCACAACATTTTGTGAATTTATTTAGGAGAAATTTGTAAAATAAATCACAATTATACTTTAAAAATTTTATAACACTTGCGAAGATTTGTAGAAAATTTCTAGAAATACAGAGAAAAAACAGCAGTTTTTAGTTTTTTTTTTGTTTTCGTTTTTGCTTTTGATTTGAAACGTCATGTGTGTACATGATTCATAATCAATTCAGTTTCGTTAAGTCATTGGAGAGTGCTTGTCGTGCGTAAAATTTGTTATTTTTAGTGTGTAATTTCTGATTGTTTTTTTTTTTGTGTATAAATACAAATAATGGATTCGCGACAATATTTAAAAAATGTGTTAGATGAGATTAATATGTCTCAGTATTTAGAAAAATTTGTCGGTAATTTTTTAAAAAAGTGCGTGTTTATTGAATAAATCGCAATTTTTTTTTTTTTTTCAAATTGAATGTGAATACAGAAGAGGAATTTGATCAAAACAGTTTTGAAAACTTGGAATACCAAACACAAGAGAGCATCATTACAAAAGCGGGTCCCAGACAAAGTTTTTGGTTTACAAAAAGAAATTTTTAAATGCTATAAGTAAATTTAATTTTTTTTAAGGTTATAAATACCGACACATTAAAACTGCAAATTCCACATGAAGATGATTTGTAAAAAATGTTAATGTATTTATTAGAAATATATATTACATTTTATTTCAAATACACATGTGCATACAAAATGTACATACAGAAATATACATACTGTACTTCAATACTCACGCCAGAAATTATCAAATTTAGAAGTTTTGGATTCATTTATGCTACCAATAAAAGTAATCCACATTTTTGTTTATTACATGCACATACATATTATACATATATTAGTTGAAAAAAATACCGATTTATTTATTTGATATTTAAAGAACTTACAATTTACAAAAACAAAAGAACTTAATTTAAATACTATTACAAAAATATTAATAATAAAATGCTACGTGTGTGTGTATATAAACATGAGAAGGAATATTGATGTTATAGAACAGACAATGCAAAAATTCTTTATAATTTTTTTATTTCAAAATTTTTTATTATTAGGAAAAATAAACAATAAGAAAAAATATTAAAAAATGTTTGCAATGTATAACCTCAACATTTGCATTTACATGTAAGCATATAAATATAGTTATGTACATACACTTTGACATTTTATATTTTGACAATATTATTCTTGTGTGTTTTTGTTTTAGTTTTATTTTGATAATTTTGTTTTTGTAAATTATAAGTTTATTAAAAATCAAATGCGGGTTTGTTTCTAATTCTTTTCAACCTAAATAAAATGTTTTACAAAAATATTACAATAAACTCTTTAAATTCTATTAACTATTAATGTTTTCATAGGATTCTAGGGTTCTTACAGAAAAAATTGATTCCAAAATAAAACTTTGCGCTGAAAAAAATAAACTTTGCATCATCGTTTCCATTGGAGAAACATTTGGTAAGAAAAATTTAGTTAAGCGGTTTTAAAATGTTAAATGTAAATTTGTTATTGTTTTTTTTAGCGTCAATGAAGAATGCTTATGTTATTATTGATATCTATAAACTGGACAATATAAGAGCAATATAGATGTATGTTTCAAGTGGTTTTTAGCTCTTCATGCAAAGTTCTCACAACAATGTTTTCCAATCTGGCAATTCATTCAACTTTTTTTTATGAAATACAGACGCAATTTGATAAGAAATTTACAACTTTAAATTCTTTAATAACGGATTTGGATTTATGAAAATATTTTGTGCTTAAAAGTAATATGGAATGTTTTATATGCATGAAATATCAATTAAATTTTAAGAGCTATGTATATCGGCCACTTTTTCATAAGAGCACAAAAGCCTATATTTATCATAGATGTAAAATTCAAAGAAAGTTTCTTTATTTTAACTCATTTCAAAGGCATATTTTTGAACATTTTGAAGAAGCGAGAATACAGATTTTTCAATAATTCAAGATAGTGCATCCAGGCATGTATTACAAAATGTGAATTCGCCAAACAAATTCGGACCACTAATTCAGTTATGGAATGAGGCACGAGGCGAAGCACAAAGTGCTTAAAGGCATTGCGAATTGAAAGGTTTATTAATTAAGTGACAGTAACATTAAAAATTCAAGATTAGAAGTTATTTCTTATCAATATGACCGAATCTTACCTTTAGATACTTTAATTGCTAATAAATTTAATTTAAGTCAAGTAGCGTTATATTCTTGGGTACAATTTAACAGCGTAAGATTCAAAATAGGATCCATTAAAGAAATAGGATATAATAGCGAAAATTCATATAAAATATTTGGAAAAATTTGTGACATAATAATTTTCTCTGTGGATAATTATAAAAAATTTAATGTTAAAAGCTTTTGTACAGAATTTTAAGACTATTATAGACAGGCTTTTATGGTAAAATATTCTGAAAATTTTATTTTAGTTGACATAAATAATATATTTCAAATTTTTTCGATCCATAAAATGGAAGATGAAAACTTATATTTTATAGTTTATTTATAGAAATTTTTATAGAAATTTTTATATAAACAGAACCGTAAAGTATACGTATTAAAAATCTTGTTAAGTATATAAATAGTTACAAATAGTTAATATATAAAATGCAATTTAGTATATATAAGTTATAATAAAATGAATTACAAATACGAAACTTTGTAGCGTATTTTTATATTAATAATTTTTTTCAGTGCTTCCTAAACTACAATAAATGAATTGTGGACTAAAGTACACAACAAATACCTATCGTAAATTAAACGACACTGTGAACCTTTTTTTTTTACAATATTTGTAAAAAAAATTCACAAAAAATGTCATATTTTTTTATTAGATTTCCACAAAAATTTACAGGTTTTGATTTTTTTAATTTGGTTTTTTTAAGAAAAAACTTAATGGAATTTGTAAAAAATTTTATGAAAACGGTTATTTTCATATAACAAAATCAGTTAAAAAAATTGACTGGTTGGGTTAAAATAAATTAAATTAATTGTGAAATTTTTCAAGATTGACAGTTAAAAAAAATTACTTTTCGTGCGAAAATCTTTTGAAATACTTGTAAAAATAATTATCGTTATTCATAAATCGAAATTGATGAAATTTATAAATATATGTAGGATAAAAGTCAAAATTTTAAATAGTTTCTATTAAAAAATTAAGATTACTCGTTTATAATTCAAACTTTGAAAATAAACAAGTATAATGTAATTTTATTAAGTTTTTTTACATGCTTTACTGAAAAACCGCACAATCCCAAAATCAATCAAAAAAATCAGGGATTTTGCTAAAAAATTAACGAAATTTCCCAAAAATTTTTTTCCGTGTTTTACATAATATGAAAATAAAATACATCATTTATTTTGGTTCATCCTCACACTAATGATAGTTTTATGATAATAAACATATACAGACTGTGGTTTCATCTCTATTCGCATAAAAACTTTCCTGGTTTTAACATCAATTCGTACATTATTTATTCGCTGTGACTTGATAACTGAATTTTTGACAATAATATTTTCTTGAATAGCATAAAGATCTAGCACTTTTCAAAAACATTTTGAGCATAAAAGCAGACAAAAAATGATATGAACTCAAAAAAATTTTTTAAACAAAAACTTTTAAATAAAAAAATGTCATAATAAATATATGTATGTAAAAAAAAATTGTGATGTGATGTGGCCAACACATAACCGAAAATATACATTATATGGTGTTCTGTGACTATATTTGAGAAAATTTCGAATGCTGCTCATGAATTATTGCAGAATTTAATAAGTAAAATGCCTTCAAAAATGTGTAACAGCTGTAGTAAAGATTCAGTTTCAGTCAGCTTGTTCTGTTGAAATAAGAGGTAAAATATATAAATTTTGAAGAATCATTTTATTACACGATCAGATATACTTATGAATTTAAAATTGAAGGTCAAAATTTCTCGAATTCAACTCGGGAAACTGTTAATTAAATCGTTTTTTATAAGGATCTATTTTCAGATATGATTCCAGTTTAAAAACAAATTCAATAGATACAATCTCTAAGTCTAAATTATTTTTCTTTTTTATTAAATTAAGTATGAAAACAACACCACTCTTATTCTAGAAAATGTAATTACCAAACGAAAAAAAAATGTGAAATTTTTCTTCACAGAGAATAAGAATAAAAGAGATTTCATATGAAAATTTTCTTAAGGTCATAAATTTATCAGAGTTTTTATGCAATTGCATCAGATGTTCCTAAAAAAACTTTACCGTTCGATTCGGTTTTATAAAATTTGTCCTGTTTTTCTTTAAGGTGTACCTAATTTTCGTTTATTTTCGTATACACATAAGATATAAGTGTGCCACTGAAGATTCACAAAATAATTCAAAAGTAATTCTAACGAAGTTCCTCGTCTAGCAAAATAATTTTTACCGCCTTTAAATTTTCGTTGTTAAAATGTGGATACGTTAAACGCTAGAGTAGCACTATACTATTTATAAATGAAAATAAATTTGTGAATGAAGAACGGTTTAAGCAGTTCAAATTACAACTTTTCACACTGTATATACCCAACATTTTCCGTAAAAATACCAATAAGGTGTTCGAAAATTCTAAAAGACCTTATTAATTAAACACAATTATTTACATTCTAAATCCCAATATGTAGTTCTCAGTTATTTCAACAAGTTTTCGAAATCATAATGCATGACATAAATATTTTTCCAATGAGTGCCTTTGGCACAATTCCAGCCAGTTATTTGAGAAATGTAATTAATTAACTATCTTGAAAAAACAAAATATAATAAAGAAAATGTTTCTTTGGATAAAATAAAAGATTGCCTTGTAATTTTGTAGAAAAGGTGTAATATTAATCATAAATGTAAAAAATAGTTTTATAAGATCTTAACTTTGACAATAAATTGTGTGCCTATTTACAAAGTATATAGAATTAGTACAATATACTTTGACTTTGATTAATTTTAAAGAACATGAATTCTCCTTTGTTTTCACTCCCCATAAAGGAACTCTATACCGGCTTATGAGATTTTCAATACAAAAATAATTTCAATTCACATATTAAAAGCATTTCAAATTTGACAATTGCTTTGTAAATTGTTTGACTTGACCCAAATTTTGACTCTTTTTTCATGTTTCAAAGATTTATTTCAAATATTTTTTTTCTTTCTTATCGAAATTTCAACAATAAGTTAAAAGAAACTTTGTATAATTAATAAAAATTTTACAATTAGAAATTTGGCATTAAAAATCTAAATAAATTTAAAAGTTCATGCCAATTTAATGAATTCATAAGCAACTAGAGATGAAGTAACATTGTGAAAGTTGTAACTTTTATTTTAAATTTATTTAAAAAATTTCTTATGAATGAAATTTAAAAATTATTTTTGCTTGTTTTCTTAAATTTACGACAAACCCATAAAATTTAATCATAAACAAAGCACGAATTTCATTAGAGAAATACTGAAATATTTGATGTGCTACATAAAAAAGTTAGTATTGTCAACTGTTGAAGTTAAGGAAGTTATTTTTTCTTTCCAGAAATCAGTATTATAGATTTTCCTTACCGTTTGCATTTACCGGAACACTAAGAAATAATGGTCAAGATATAGATCCAAGTATATGATCAGCATTGAATTCTGATTTGGTTTTACCACTTCTATTCATTTCTTCGTCTATTTGAAATTTCTTAACTCCTTGTGATAGCTCCTATAAAGCTTCAATAAATTGTTATTTGGTCATATCTTAGAAACTACCAGTCATGCTTAGAATATGGTAACATGATCACTATTTTTGGTGAAAGCTGTTGAAATATCATGAGCGCTTATGATAGCTGTCATGCAACTTCAAAAAGATGATTCCAAGTAACTTGTAAAGTCAGAAGTAATTAAAATTATAACATAGAAATTTCGCGAGAACAAGTATATTATTGGTACTCCCCAAGGTATATTCATTCGTACGGGTATCACAGAGTTGACAGAGTCAACTCTATACTTATTCTAATTTCAATTTAATTCTAAATTAAAAATCAAATTATAATATATATTAATTGATTATTTATTTGCTTTCTTGATTTCGGCCATATGCAAAAAAGTTCTATGTTTAATAAGCAAAGATAGCAAGTTCGTTCTTTAAAACAAGGTAACGAAATTTAACCCTTAGCAAAATGTATTAAGTATTACGTACGTGCAACCCTGATCGAATAATCAAAACTATGAGAATGTGAGTAGGTGATTAATTGGAACAAAAATTCTGAAAAATTAGAATTATTTTACTTGTATCCATGTTATATCATACATAAGTATATACATACATCTCATACACATGCACATCCGTAATATACACAGAAAACTGTCCTTTAATTCTGAGTTTTACTTTAAATAAGTAACTTAATTAATTAGCTATTTTGTAGTTTCGTAATAAAATGGTGTTGCAGTAAACTCAACCTTGTTGAATATAAGAATTCGAAAATATTTTTTACAAACTGTAAAGAAAACAAAGAATGGTTTCCAAATTACTTTGTTTCCTTTATATAATTAAAATAATTGAAGAAAATGAAGTTCTTTTAAAAAAAGGAAAAATAAATATTTTTTTTTTGGAAACACCTATACAACGTTGTTAAGTAATTCAGTTACACTTTTCTAATAATCTATATGATTACATAGCAAAAGTA